TAAAAAAATAATCTAGGTGGAGATTTTAATAAAGCAAACATTTCATAACTTTTTAAAATAATAATAATAATAGTCTACTTTGAAAGTAGTTTGTTATACCTTAAAATATTTAGGTAAATATTTATTATTATTATTATTATTAAATCAGCTCAGTGATATTGTGTAGTATATGAAGGCCTTTTAAAGGAAAAGCGGCTAGTTCTGTCAGTCTGAAAATGCAATGATATTCATAATTTAAAAATTCAATGTTTATAAAAACATTATTTACATTAAAATGCTCGAAAACAATCAAGTTGTGAAAACTCATAATTCAATATTCAAAGTCTAAGGAAAATAATTTAGTATTTCACTTGACTGTTAAACCACTTGTTAAAATGTTAAAGTAATTAATAATTTGTTGAAAATTGTATAAATATTTTTCAAAACTGTTTAACCTGAATACAAAAATCTTGTGTTTTAAACTAGGTTTTTTTTTTTTACAATATCGCTGACATCCTTATTTGTCATTTATTATTTTGCCTAAATTTAGCCCTTTTTTAAATAACATTTTACAAAAAATAATAATAAAACGTGTTAAAAGCTGAATTTTCAACTTTGAATTAAATAAGAACCCCAAGCCCATTAAGTCCAATCAACTTTTTTTGTAAATCTCCTGTTTGATGTGTAGATGTCTTTGGTGTTAATGATGAAGTAAATAAGATGCCCAACCGGTAAAGCATCTATTTGTCCAGACAATGTAAACATGATAATTGGGGTTTTGTAAGCAGGTTTTCTAAAGTACATCTGTCCTGCATGATTGGCTTTACAGAACATTCGAAAGCAAATCCGAAAGCTTGCATCTGTTTATCATTGCAGAGATCTTATCATAACAGATTCGTCTGCAAGCAAACACAGCCCTCAAAACCTCAAGGCAGGTTGTATTTGAGCAATTAGTCTTGACTTTTCCCTTCAGAGGAATACAAAGTTAATAGGAAAAATGCAAGACAAAGCATAATAGTTGAATTGTGGGAGTCTTGGAGAATGTGGTGCTCAGAGGGAATCTAGTGTGAAGAGAAACACTGCTGCAGGAACCATGACAAATCCCTACGAAATGGAAGTTAGACCCCTCACCTGGTCCACTGCTGCAAACTGTAATGGTTTAAAGGACCTGTTCACCCAAAAATTACAATATATGTGACCTCAAATGACATCTGCCAGCTGTAGGGGATGGTTATCAGTGAATATTGATCTAAATTCTCACACAAAGTCATGTGACTTCAGAAGGTTTTAAGGCTCAGAAGGCTTTAAATATATAAAGAATATAATAGTATATATTTAAATAATAATTATATATATATATAGTGCGTTCTGTCTTTAAACATGACAGTACAAATCAATTAATTAAAACCTCTCTATGTATAATTAATAAAAAATACATATTTATATTAGAATAT